CTATATGTAGTACGATATTCATAGCATCACGCTATTTTCCCCAAGGAGTTGAGCGGAGCTTCGGAACTTCGGATTATATTCCTGTTGCGCGCCACTATTAATGTATTGTACATGGCAACACTAGTTACCACTAGCGCTCTCTAGTATCGAGTAGCAGAACTAGGAGAGTCAAGATCCTTCTAGAAATTTTGGGACCGATATGTACTCGAACATTCTAGATGTTTCTACAGTAGAAGATTCTGGAAACTATCTGAGGCCCTATATAAAGCCGGTATAGACCACGACGACACGATGAATCCGCGATACAAGCGAATACTTCTAAGCGATACAATTGCGAACTAAAGTGATCTGTATTACAATTGTGTTTTGTAATTAGTGTGGGCTTAAGTTGTAATTAGTATTCTTTAATTGAAGTGTCAATTTTGGTAATTCATTCGGCAGTTTCAATTGTCTCGAACTCCAAACTCGTAACATTCCCAAGTCACAATGATACAAATTTTAGCGTAGTTAGGTATAGATATTTAGTAATACTCCTGAAGCGCTACTAGACGAACGCGCATGAGACGTGATAGTATAAATTACATAGTATTTGATACTCACAACGGTCATTCATGCTTGATGACCGACGACATTGGCCGAGGGCTTAAATAGCTTGGTTCATCGCCTACAGCGCTAGTAGTAGAGGAGAGGATCTCGAGGTTAAGTAATAGCTGCGCAGATCAATAGATCTGCGAGATTAAGTTGTACTTGCCGCGGTCAGTCCATGAATGAGTGACCATTTTCTTGACATACCGAGATTAAGAGAATAGAGAGTGCATCTGTATCCTCAGACACTTAGTGCACTTTACTGTGTTAAGATCATTATGTTTTTAAAATTCATGCAGCTAAAATGATAATAGTTTATTATTACTTTATACTTTTTAGGGACAGATGAAAGAATATAAACATGAAGCATGTTGAAGGCTCATAAACATATTGGCCTTTAAACAGAGCAATCTTATTTAATTTATTCCTACAAGTTTCCTTCCTTAAATTATTAAGTTCACATTTAAGTCTAATGTTAAAATAAGCTTCTGTAATGCTTCAAGTCATAAGTAATACTGTACACGCCCTTGGCTGTCTATACAGGGACTATACAGGGGCCCATACAGCTGTAGACTCGACGGATAACTAAGAACGGGGCCCAACTGGCCTTATGGAGAGTTGACCTACACGACAGTGATAAAGCTAGGTAAATAAATAGTACGTACCTGTTCAGAGGCGAAGAAGGATCACAAGGCTCGTTCAGGCGTTAATTGTCGTGAATGTAAGTAGTGTGTGAGAAGTGTATATATGTGTAACCTTAATTAGCCCTTTTTAATCAGCAGCAACCTTGACTCCAGTACCGCCACCCTATGTGGTATCACTCCAGCGGCGTCACTCGATGTCACTCAAAGTCTAGCGTCCATTAGCACAAATCTATAATCTCCGGCGTGTGCAGGGATGCGCGCGCGAGCTGCGTGCCAGCCGGTGCTAGATAAATCGGAGGACCGCGCCGACGCGCCCGTTATGTTGTTTTTAAATTTTAGCGTTTGGCGCAAACAAATACTTATATGAAAAATAAAGCAACCATTATGTACTCCGTGTCCCAGTTTTTATTTCCCCATCAAAACATTTTATAAAATATAAATAGGTATATACTTAGTTAAGTATCTACCTATTTTTAAATATTTTACCTGCTATTTTATCTACCTATTTATATTAACAATATGTTAAAAAAGAAATGCCGGGGAAACTGCCCACGGTAGTAAATATTTTTCCCCAAAGAGCTCGAAAATACAACTTTCCGATCTGATTATTGGGGAGTTTTTTAAGTTTATCGGTAAAGTCACCTGGGATTTTATACATTTTAACTGAAATCCAACAAAAGGCAGGTAGGTTCAGCGTATTCCCAGGAATATGTTATATGAATATTTTTTAATTATTTTAGAACTATCATGGTAAAATTCAGTTAATTTTTGAAGTTATTCAACTTCATGCACTAAACACTTTTTTAAATCTGTTTACTGCTTCCTTAACAATCATTTTCGATAGTCCTTGTAAGTAAAATATACATCACTAGCTAACGCACACAATAACAAATTAAAATTGGTCACGCGTTTTCGGACTGTCAGGTGGTCTATACGCCAGTATATTAATATTAATAATAATAATAATATCATTTATTCGCTAAACATGGTACATTAAAGATGACAAATAGTTGTACATAGTTCACATGTTTACCAAATATGGCATGCGAAATTTATTTAACATAATATATTAAATCATTATTTTCATAGGTAAGCAAGTCAATAAATTTATGTACTTATTAAGGAATTATATTAAATTAAATTAATTAAAATTACAATTGTCGTGTCAATCACTATTGTTTTATAACTAGGCAAATCAATTAAGTATATATAGAAAAAAATTAAAATGTCAAAGGAGTATTTAATCTAAAGAACATCAAATAAATATAAATGTTTAAAGCATGGCTATGTCAAGTTTTGGCATGGCTATGTCAAGTTTTTACATTCTAAGTCTATGCGTAAGACCCAAGGTAGTGTGCACTTCATACTAGAGAAACGTTACTAAATCATTGACCTTGAAATGAATGAAAGGCACCGAGTTAAGCGTTCCATTTCTTTCCAATAGAGTGTCCATGATACAATATTTTGAGGATATTAATAGTATATACAGCATTACGGAAAACGAAATGCGTATTTTTTTTCAATGTAGAGAGTGCTGAATAGTGTTATAATTAAACTCCATTTAATATTTAGATTACATTATTGCTTCGCTATAGTATCAAGCCTTACTGTAACTAGTGGCGGCGTAGTGTGGGTTGGCACCCAGGGCGGTTTTCTATCAAGCACCTCCCAAAATAAAACAAAAAATGCTATACATGCTAACGGGACTTTATTTTGCTAAAATATTCTAATATATTATCAAAATTTACTTTCTTGTCATTTTCGATAGATTAAATGGAAAGACTGGTTAGTAGCGCTTGGCTCATTGTGGACCTTAAGTAAGATTTTATTAACTTGAGTTTTGAAAAGCTTCCTTCACATGAAACTTAAAAGAAAAAAATCTTAGACACAGCGCTAGATTCGGAACAGATTCAGAATAACCCAATTTTACGAGAAAAGCTCCAATGAATTACATTGAATCGCTTCTTGGGAAGAAATGCTGGCAGCTTTCAAGTCATAAAATCTCCAAAATTATATATCCTGCAGAAAAATCATCGTATATTTTTGTCAGATTTTGAACTATTACACGAAGATCTTGATCAGGTGACATTAGCAGAGTGTAAGGCTGAACAACACTAAATGTTACGAGAATATCATCCATTGCTCTGTAGCGATGGTCTAGTTCCTCGTAAAATCTGTCAAGACATTTTAACATAGCTCTCCGCAGCTCCTCTAGCAATATTAATCCAGCATATCGGGTCATTTCTCCTGGTAAACGTTTTCGAAATCTTCCCATTCCTCTTTTTCCTTCAATCGAAATGTCCACATTTTCATATTTTTTGTTACGTAGGAAATAGCTTTTTCCACTAGTTGAATACGTTGACTTTGAAGAAAAATTTTTGGGCTTTGATTTTTATCACATACTTTTCCAGTGATAATCTAAATTATTGTTTTATTATTTAGTATTTACTTTGGTATCTGACTAACTTGTTTTAGGGTTTTACACCAAAAGGAAAGATAAAAAACTGAAGTCACACAAAGCTGGTAAGAGTGTAAATGGTGCTTCTCTTGTATCGACGTTTTCTCTGTTGATGCTGGGATCATATATATCTCCGAGTGTTTACACTAGTTTTTTTTTAATTATTCTGCAGTGGTTTAACAGCGTCATGATGAGCAATCCATCTTGACTCTGAGAGTCTTTTGACGGATACGCCTACACTTTTCATTAAACTTTCCCATTGACGTGTGGATGATGAAAAGAACCTGTAAACTCTTTCTACTGTTCCAAAAAAAGTTAAATTTGAATTAACGCTCCCTAAGTGAGTGCACTCCACATAGATTTAGCGAATGATTGGCACAAGGCGTTTTCTATGTGGTAGAGCCATGCTGCTATATTAGTAGTATAGTTGTAGCACAAATAGGTCGGCTCGACCGGGGAAGGACCACGCTCTCACAGAATACCAGCGTAAAATAGCAGCTCAACAATGATGTATTTCGTATGGTGAGTGTAGAGAACCGGAGACCCTTTTTACTGGAAAAGTGGCATTCCGTCTTAGTCCTCACGGGTAACAGCGCATCTGCATTTTGATTCGCAAAGGAGGATAGATATAGATGTCTATAGGTCACAGCAACCACTTACCATCCCGTGGGCTGTGTGCTCGTTTGTCACCCTCTCCTATAAAAAAAAAACAATATATTTATTCATTTGACAACATCAAATTTTAAAATAGTGTTGTCCTCTATAACGTTAAATGCACCCTCTAGTTTTTAGGGAAAGAACATTCGTGTTTTAGTGTTTTTTTTCGTGTTACTTAATAATATGCTTAATTGAAATACAATATGGAATATACCAACTATGATTAGCGATGAAAAATGTAAGATTATCGTTCTAGCATACGTCTAAAATATTACTTTAAGTCAATCACTGTCTTAATGTTGGTAATGTTTTTATTTTGTGTTAACATTTATCAATGTTAGAAGGAGATAAAATATAAAACTCGGTGCCTCTCTTTCTAAGAAAAATGAGGAACGGTTACAATGCTCCAAGCGCTCACTCCCTATATTATGCTATAACCTTCTTGTTTACCATAGATACTATGGCGTTTACTGTAACCATAGAAACCATAACATCAATAAGACAAAGAGAATGAAAACCAATATATTACATAAAATAATAATATAACAGTGCTCAAGTGGTCAATACGTTTATAAAACGACTTTTAAAGAGGTTTACATTGAATGGTTTAAAGAAATAATATTACTATTTCCATATAACCATGTTATTTTAACGTGATGAATAGTAGTGTTTTTACAAATTCATGCATTAAAGTTCCCGTAGATCCTATAAATAAGATGCCAAAAGCAGCGTACGAAAGAACGAATAAAACATTATTAGAACATAGCTCTATTGATTCATCTACCACTTGCTCTGTATCAACAACGGATGTAGATACTGAAAAACTAAAAAATTTTTACCGGAGCATACCTGACTATAACGAAATTAATCATTTATCATCCACAGAATTTTATTCGACATTAAAATCTTTAAGAGAAAAAAAGAAATCTATGTTAGGAATTAGTGTGGAACTCATAGATAATGGTCAGCAATATGATAACAAAAAAAACTCTTACGATGAAGTATATGGCCTTTCTCCTAAGAAAGAAAATAATATAGTAAAGATTGATAATAAGAAAAGTTTTAATACAGTAACCATTACCAGGAAAAAAAAGTCTCTTGGAACAGACAAAATAGATAATGCAAATGTAACATATCCAACACAAAAACAGGATAACATAAATGATGATCAACTTCCTGATACAGACATAAAATCGGATAAAACAAAAACATTTGAGATAAACAGTCGAAACACAAACAAGGTTGAGAGATCGCATAGAAATCATTCAGCTTGTTCAATCTCATGGCATGATGATAAAAATGTTCGTAATAAGAACGAAATAGACAAAAAATTTGATAAATTTTTTCAAGTTACGAAATTAGATCCTTTTGACAGTAGACAACAATGCACAACGCAAAGTATGCCTTCGAGTCCTTTGAGAACTAAAAGTTTGAGTACAATCTCTCGCAAAAAAAAGAATATCACTATTCCAAAACCTTTTAAAATGACGGAAAGGTAATGTTCCTTAATAAAGAAAAATCGGACGTGTTCTTTTCTACGTATTTTAAGCCTTTAAGCCAGTATTGGACTAGTATACGGTTAGATTTGACTACAATCCCACCTGATAGTAATTGGTAAGGTATTTAGTTCGCAAATAAGATGATGATCACGTCATCATGGTAGATTCTGATAGTGAACAGAACTTCTAAAATTATCGAAACATGTGACCTGCGCAGGGAATGTAATGTCTCAAGTACACGCGTAAGCACAAGTGCTAACTGCCTTACCACGTATGTATATGTAATGAAATTGTAGGTAAGTTCGGATGCAGTGTGAAAGATACGTCTTTATACACACAGTACATCCAGAACGGAAAACCAATTGCATAAAATTGTCTACAACTATCATTCGAACTCGGACTTCATATTTAAGGAGTGATGATTAATATAGAAAGCAATTTTTTTAATACTGTGAAAGAATCAATACATTCATACATACATTTTTACAGGGATGACCAAGAAAGGATGGCGAAAGAGCTTCGTACGCTGCAAAAATCATTTTCGGAGGATATGCTAAACCAAAAACGGGAAAGGAAACAATTTCGAGCCAGACCTGTACCTATTGAATCACGGATTCCTCTTTACGACAAAATTCTCGAGGATCAAGCCATGAGGTTTCCGCAGTTAAAACTTGTATATTCCACGCTTATTTGTTTTATTTATATTCCTTTTTGATCACATTTAGCAACATTAGGTATGTACTAAAATGCACTACTTCTTTTTTATATGGTTAATGCATGTATTTAAAATTATATAGATATACCTCAAAACTTGAAAACGAGATTGTACTACCAGTGCGTGTTGCCAGTGATCACATATGGATCTGAGACGTGGTTCTTCATTGCTGGCCGTATGAGGAAGCTCAAGGTCGCTCAACGAGCTGTGGAGAGGGCTATGCTCGGGGTTTCTTTGTGTGATAAACTTATAAATGAGGATATCTGTAGTAAAACCAGAGTAACCGACATATCCTAATGGATTAGTAAGGGCCGACCATATAGATCTTATTAACGCTTATTTGTTTTATTTATACTCCTTTTTGATCACGTTTAGCAACATTAGGTATGCATTAAAATGTAGTGCTTCTTTTTATATAGTTAACGCATGTATTTAAAATTATTTTAGATTGTGTTGCACTGGAAACAAATTAATATACTTTGAAACATATTAATTTATAAACTAGAACTAATTGGATGTCAAAAGTCAATTTTAAATTTTAATACTGATATATTACATAAGAATTTCATGAGAACTTTATCTTAGCCAATCTTTTCATATACGTAGGTAAGGTTTTATGTTATAATGGCAATACTCAAAGCGAAATGTAGATCGGCTTAACTTTAGCTAAACATAAAACTGAGATCGAAGAAATATGTTCACTTTCGAAAGAATTGATTATGAATGAATTAATTAGAATCTTTAGCCAATTATGTAAACATTTGAAAAATAATATTTTCTCTATAGCTAGAAATACTCAGCCGTTGCCGTAAACGATAAATAGGTGCTTAATGTTAAATTCATTTATTTACGGTTATTGTCATTATAATCATTAAAAGGGTTACAAAGTGCGAACTTATCAAATATTTCCTTTAAAACATACAAAATGAACTTTAAAATTCAAATATAAAATATATTAAACAATTTTATCATGTTTAAATAGGTTCCTGTAAATAAGTCGATAAGAGCTATAAATAATATGGGTTTTCCAAAAGAACAGGACGTTGTTATGTGAATATAAATGTATTAATATTGTTGTTGCCAACGTATCTTAGTAACTGAAATCTGTTTGGTATGCTGATTATGTTGAAATGCTGAAGTTACATTTACGTATAAAAAAAATATCTATGTATGATACAGAATAGTAAAAAATTAACTACCTTTGGGGTTTGAATAACTCATTACCTATCTTGTTTTCTTGAAACTTTTGCGGTAGATATCAAAAAGAGGTAACGAACTTAACCATTTTTATATTTTATTTATATAATCTATGAGTGCAAACGAACCAAGAGTCCACCTGATAGTAAGAGACCCATGTAACCCATGGTCTTGACATTTAAATAAAGAAAACCACAGGTGGGACGTTACCCTGACGACTAGTAAAAAATGCCTCATATCCTGTATTTATATTGGCTCTCTTATCCTAGAAAGAGCCGGATTTCAGCATTATAAAAATATTTAACTAAGTACCCAATTTTGCACGTAGTAGAGCCATGCTGCAGTTATATTAGTAGTAATAGTTGTAGCACGAATGGGTCGGCCCGACCGGGAAAGGACCACGCTCTCACAGAATACCAGCGTAAAATAGCAGCTTAATACTGTTGTGTTTCGTATGGCGAGTGTAGGGAACCGGAGACCCTGTTCACTGGAAAAGAGGCATTCCATCTTAGTCCTTACGGATGACAACGCATCTGCTTTTGAATCGCAAATAGCCATAGACATCTTCATCTATCCTCGATAGATGAAGATGTCTATGGGCTACAGCAACAGCAACCACTTGCCATCAGGTGGACTATGTGCTCGTTTGTCACCTTATCCTATATATAGGTTCCAGAGATATCGTGATGAGTCAGTACAAAATGTGATTTTTTTAAATTAACGCCCCTGCAACCCCCCTTGCGGGTGGAATTTCGTAAATCCCCTTCTTAGCTGACCTCTACTCGGCGAAAGGAATATTGCTACCAAATTTCAAGTCTCTATCTAGGCCTTATGGTGCCAGAGATAATATGAGTCATTACATAGGTGGAAATCTCTTATATATATATATATATATATATATATATATATATATATATATATATATATATATATATATATATATGTATACATACATAGATAAAGATTTACTTGACCAGTGCAATGAATAAAGAATAATCTAATCTTACTCAACTAATCTTTTCCCATAGTCTTTTTTGGAGTTTGCACCTAACACTGGTAGTAACACTTTATTTTTTATAGAATAAGGGTGACAAACGAGTAAACAGTCAATCTGATACTGGATACTGTGGCCTATAGACATCTACATTTATCCTCGATTAAGAATCAAAATGCAGATGCGTTGTCACCCCTGAGAACTAAGATGCAATACCTCGTTTCCAGTAAATAGGATGTCCGGTTTTCTACACTCACCATACAAACACAGCAGCATTAATCTAATATTTGCCCTGAGAATTCTACGTAAATGTTTATTATTGATATGTATTTTGATATGATACGAGTATGCATTGCTTGATTGCTTAGCCAACGTCGCAGACTAATAAGAATATTGGCGTACCAAACGCGAACTGTGTCGCGACCATGTTATAATACATGGTCGCGACACAGTTCGCGTGGGCTTACATCAAATTATATTATACTTACAAATATTATGTCAAATTGCATGGTAAGGTTTTTGGTTATATAGTGAACCGAACGTGGTACCGGGTGGGAGATGAAATGAAATTATTTATGCGTATATAAATTAAAATTGAAATACATCGTTAAAAATATTGAATGATAATAAAACAAAGAAATTTAAAGTATATAATTGTTAGCTACAAAGAAACTTAAATCCTAAGCCTGCTTATAAACTATTAGAGTAGTTGCGTTTATTTTTAGAAGATTTTTTGTCGAATTAAATTATTATTAATAACTAATAATCATGCGTTGTCACATCAGATATTACTGTCGATATTTGTGTCGCTAAATAGCAGTGCTTACACTGTTGTGTTCAGTGATTTCTACATCTATGTTAGTATATTGCTACATTCTCATCATTTAGTAATAGTAATAGTCTTCTATCATTTTATTCCGTTCTATCTTGCCTTTTTTTCCTACTACATTAATTACTCTCTTAGAGATCTTAAAAATACAATTCTTCTTTCAATACTATAATTCTGGCTGTGTGGATTCTGATCAACCAGAACTACAAGCTTTAGTCACTAGTACCTACATCTCGCCATGCTTTCGTCTTTGCGACTTCAACTTCCATTAGTACCTAATTATCCCCACATAATGAATTAGTATTCCTTTCATTCATCCACTAAACCTCTCCAAACTTCACACAGTCTCATCTTTCGTACACAATTTATCCAAACCACTATTTTTTTTTTATAGTTTAAATCTTTATCTGGGGGCACGGCAGTGCCCCCGCCAAGTCGACCAGAGAATCGGCACGGCCCTACCATCCTTTTCTCGAAGCAGTACAGGCCATTTTCGACCCCCTATCTTCCCCCTAACTTCGTTCTTGATAAAACTAGAAGCCTGAATTATATTTATTAATATAATTAATATAAACTCAGTATATTTCAAATTTCATTAAATATGAACCAGTAGTTTAAGAATTATAACTAGTCAAAGTTTCTTAATTTTGTCACTCACTCACTGACCGATCATCAAAACTCTAAGGCACTTCTAGCAGATATAGAAGCTTCAAATTTGGAATACAATTATTGCTTAGTATATAAATCAAGGAAAAACTAAAATATTTTGCAATTTCGGTGCAGAAGTCGGTTTTCGAGATACACCAACGGCATAAATAACTTTGTATATGTATAATATAATGGAATACCTAATAGGTGTAGATAGGTACCTAGATATAACCATCTACAAAAAGAAATGAGATGCCATCAAAAAATTTTTAACAGTGGTAGAGCCACGCGGCAGCTTTTGCTGTCGCACGGATGGGCCGGCTCGAACCGGGGTGGTGCCACGACCTCACAGAAAACCAGCGTGAAGTAGAGGTTTACCTCTGCGTTTCGCTCGGTGAGTGCAGGTGGCCGAAGGCCCTTTTTACTGGAAATGAGGCATTCCATCTTAGTCCTCACGGGTGACAACGCATCTACACTTTGATTTGTAATAGAGGATAGATGTAGATGTCTATGGGCCGCAGCAACCACTTACCATCAGGTGGACTGTGTGCTCGTTTGTCACACTTATCCTATAAAACAAAAAACAACACTAAACAATTTAATTTAATATAATATGTATTACATGAGAGATACATTGTGTTTTCATGCGATGGCCAAGTCAATCTATTTATTTAAAATATAAAATATTTTTAATATTGATATGGTCACTATAAGATGTTAGGTTAGCTAATCACTCAATAACTTAAGACCCTTAACTAGGGACTGAATAAATTAACCGACTTGGTATTACATGGATCTCACAACTTTTTACGGTAGAAGAATTGAGTTGCGAGACTTGGATTTTTTTACAAGTTATGTTTTTGATGGCATATCACTTTCACATGTTCACCTAGTAACTCTTCTATTCTTATACGCTGTAACGAAGTAGTAGCCACAGATGTCCGATGCCATCAACGTCTGAACATACCATTTATTCGGTAAAAACCAAACAATAATCCGCCCCTATGTTGACACTCCGGTAAACCTTGCATCTATATCTACCACCATTCTCTTAATTCTTCCATCTACATTGTAAAATCTATCAAATCTTTCACCTTCACATGGGAATACTTAAGAATCTTCTTAGGATGAAAGAGAGTATTCGTTACAAGAAGATTTATTTCGAAACATTCTGTACGAAGTATTATTAATATTATATTATTAAATATTATACATGGTAGAGCCACGCTACAGCTATATTATGATTGTAACACGAATGGGTCGGTCACAGC